AGGAATGGGATAAACAAGCGCTTCACGCCAATCAGCAGGAATATCTCCATGAATAAGGCAAGCGTTGGCTAATACAAGGGACAAATTGAAAGCTTCTCCAGTTAAATGTTTGAGCATCTCATAAGAAATTTTGGAAGGACCGGAGGCCTTGTTATTAGGCATAGAATTGAGGGTGTTCTTCCATTCATCTTCCAGAATAAAAGACATGACCAAGTTAAATAATGACGAATCAATATCAGGAAGAGGAGCATATGCTCGTTGCCATCGAGGAGGAAATGAATCTGTAGAAGAATACTGGACCAAAGGAGGAGTAACAACCGATTGGAAGTGTTTTATAGCAGCTTGCTTAATATCAGAAGGATCAGTAAGTAACGTGGGTTTGGAGTCAATAACCACCAAGACTCTATCAAGGACGATAGAACGATGATCCACTGAAAGGGCTGAAGAAATAAAAGAGCCTGGAGACGTAGAGAAATGTTCATCTCTAAGAGCAATATAATATTCTATGGAATCGACACGATGTTGATGAAATTGCGTGGAAAGATATGCAGAGACCAAGGCTTTTTGTGAACGCAAAAATTTGATAAAAGCAGGAAGTGGTGTCATGCTATAAATAGGTATAGTATAATCTTTTAAAAGAGATTTAAGAAGAGTTAATTGTGTAGACAAAGAATTAATCATCTGTGAAATTTGGGCTGAACGACTAGGTCGAGACGTGGTCAATTTGAACAATAATCTATCCAAGAATTTGTTGATAGCAATAAGCATCGTAAGTTCAGGAGGATATTTATGGTGATGGGTATTGGATACATATTGAAATGGTAGAGAATTAATGGCACCACCAAGAATAGAACGTTTAAGAGTGTGCCAAAGTTTGTCCAAGGAAAGAGCTGAAAGTGAAGATACTGAAGGGTGGTGTGTGGTCAAGTATAACTCAAGACGTGAGTTTACTTCATTGGAAAATTTGTCCCAAATGTCATCATTCAAATTTTTGTAAAGAAAGATGGTGCGTTGTTCGCTCTTCTGCTTTAATCGAGCTTTGGATAAAATAGCGAAACATGAGCTAAAATCAAAGGCCGTTATAAGTACACGGTGATCAGTAAATTGATTATCATTCAGCTTAGGACAAGTTTCAACTTGAGAAAAAAGACCAGGAGCAGGAAATCCAGGGGATGACCAGATATAATCAAGTCTTGAAGAACCATTCTGGTAATAAAAGGTAGGACTAGGACCTGAGATTGAAGAAATATGGGATTGATGATCCGTAAAATATCGAGAAGAAAGTGATCGCAAAATTTTTAAGTGATGTAGAGGAAGGTGTGAATGTGAGATTTCATCTGCATTAAAATCACCAAGGATAACTACGTGATAGTTATTAGAGCGGGCTTTATCAAGCCATAAAGTAAGTTGGGCAAAAATAGCATCACGTTCTTTGTAATGAATAGAATGATAAGGAGGAATATAAACAGAAATAATAGAAATTTTTGTTTGATGAAAAAAAAGATCTAATTTTAATAAACGACCATTCCAAGGATCAATTTTCTGAACATGTTTGTGTAAAGGATGGCAAAGTAAAAGACCAACACCATCATGTGGTCGCGAATTAGAGGGGGAAGGAGCCCAATAGGACTTAAAATTATATTGGGAATGTTCATTTTGATAAATAAATTTAGCACTAGAGGAAATAAGACGAGTATCATTTAAAGATAAAACGCCAAAAGAAGAATGAAGGAAATAATTTAATAAATGCAATTGTCGAACAGGGGAACATAATCCATTAACATTGATTTGTCCAAAGTTAATAAGAGGGGAAGAAAAGGAAGGAGAAGAGGGATTATTAGGACTATTATTATTAGGTATCGCACTATTAGGGGGGTGAAATCCCTGTAATGCACCCGATATAAATTGGTGTTCAATCATTGGAAGGGGAGGGTTTTGAAGGAGAGAAGGAGTCCAATATTTGGTGATTATGAGCAAACAGTCTTATGACTTTATCTTTTATTATTAATTTTAAACGAAAAGTATAACAAACAAATCGAACAATATTACAAATATCAAATAGAGAAAATAAACATAAAAAATAAAAAGAACTACTTTACAGAAACCTTGAATTTTTAAACAATACCGAATTGATATAATAATGATGTTAAATAAATATCGTGGCGATATCGATTTGCAAATGATATCATTATGATATCGCAATGATATCATTTCAATATTAATTCAATATATCGAAATGATATCGTAAAGATATTTGTTTGAAAAAATATCAGATCGATATCATTTCGATATTGTTATAACAACAATGAATTTTTTGAAAAATGGGAAGTAAATACGATATTAATATGATATCGTTCCAACATTAATTCAATATCAATATGAT